TTTCTTCTACCGTGAAGATGGGGGCGATACGTTCCTCCGAAACGTCGGTTAACACCACATATACACGGTGCCAAATCCCAGAAGACTGCTTCCTTCATATTTTTCCTCATTTAACTTTACATTTACTTTTCCTTGTTTGTTTATAAGTACATACTTTGTATAAGACTGAAACAGAAAAGTATAAATATCCTTGAAGATTTTCCATTTTTAACACAAAAATTTGATTCCCCTTCATTTACTCCTCTACTTCAGATATAAGTACTGTGGTATAATAATACTACTACTAATAATTAAGGTATACTATTAATTCTATTAAATCTGCATCACTTCTACTAAAAATACTATTCTGTTAATGCAGGATTTTTACTCTTGTAGACATTACAAATTCTGATAGGTTAAGTATTAATTGAATAAGTCGGTATGTTTCCTGGTATGTGTTTGCAAACTGTGATGTCCATTAGTGCTACTGCAGTACTTTTGCAGACTTGTGTTCCATGTTGTGCTTTGCTTTCCAGTCATTTTCTGAAACATACAAACATTTACTAAAGATTCCATTCAGAGCACAGCTGTCCATTATTGTGCATCCAATGCAATATTTGCCAACAACTATGAGGACTTCCAAGATCTTGCAGTGATGACTATGAAGAGTACAGAATTCTGGGTTTCACACTGTGTAGTTTGGAAAAGCTCACTGTTTCAGAGGAACATACTCGTATCACTTTCATTTGGGATCACAGAGTAAGCTGAGCAAGAAACCAACAAGAAGCAGGCAGTGTGCAGGCATGTTGTGGGCATTACCTAGCAATGGCCACTGTTTAGCAACGAGTCTGTACGCCACAATATGAAGGAGGTGTTTTAATTATTTGGTGATGAAGGGTCAATGAACTCAGCAAATCACGTAACACATGAACATATCTTGCCCAAACACTGCAAAGTGATCAGCTGGCTGGGTTGACTGTTAGAATAATTATCAACTTTTGAAGACGTTGGTTTACCTTGGCACTGTTTTGAGCAATAGAAACGAGGGTCTGGCCAGCCCTCCTTCTTGCAGAGTGAACACTTCTTGTACGTGTGTCGCTCTGGTTCCACAGTCTTGCAATATGTGCACACTAACAAAATAAATCAACAAAGCGGTATAACTAATTTATTCCCTGTTCAAGTCAAAACTTGGAGGACAGTACCAGTCCTGTATGGACTATACGACACACAAAAATTTTAGAGAGAACTGGCACATATTTTACAACTGTAATGTGCACATGGAATTTAAGCAGCATCTTCTAGAATAATTGTACCTTATGTAGGACTTGAGATTCTCACAACATTCGTTATGAAAAACACTATCTTCTGGGATGACACCATGTAGTCCACTGGAAGTCAACTGACATTTAAGAAGAACATTTCCATTTCAGGGTTGAAGAACAAGCCAAGAAAGGAACCAGCATGAAAGCAAGTGGCAAGCAAGCAAGCGAGACAGTGGTTGCCACTTGCTTTCACGCTGGTAATATGTTCCTCCAAAAAGACGGTTGACTCGACAGACTACATAGCGTTATACCCCTTCAAATGTATCTTATTAAAGCATCTAGTGTGGAGGAAATACCACTAATTATATTCAAGTCTAAAAGTGCTGTGACAATGCTTGCTTTCTCTGGTATTTAAAATTCTTTCTTTCATCATGTGGAAATGTTTCAAAACTGTGTCAGACGCTTAAACCTGAATACCCAGTTACTATGGGCTTATGGATTATGACACTATGCATGGGTTCAGACCTGAAGATGGAATTAGTATCTGCCTCCAGACTTGACTGTATGATATCATTAACATGAAAGACAAAAAAAGTGTGACAGCGTAAATCCAATATTCAAAGTTCATGCTCTGTAGACATTTAACTTACTCTTGTATTTGCTGAGGGCTTTATTTTCAGAGGGAGTGTCTTGCTTTGAGGCTTCATTATTCTGATGCTGTTTCTTTTGCTTTTTATTTTCTTTAGTGTGTACATTTTGTGACGATTTATTTTCAGTTACATCACAGTTGCCAGCGTTTCCATCTGGCATGTTACTCTTGATAGAGATACTGCTCTCCATCCTGCTGTTAGCTGGGCCATTTAAACTTATATCAGGTTCACCTGAAAAGACAGTGATTTAATTTTAATTCATGTGCTTTTATGGTTGCAGAATGTCTGCATGTTCAGGCAGATTACCCATTTCTATAACTGAAAATTCACTGGATGGAAGTCAAAATATTTTGCTTATTTGATAACAGATGTAACAAATTACAAAACAACAGACCTCCAATATGCCTATATGGATGTTAAACATTTGTGACAAAAGAAGGCTATAGAAGAAGAATTCAAACAGAAAAGAACATAGTTTTCCAGAGCAGTGCTAATTAACCTTTAACGTCTGAAGTGCCCCAATCAGGCCAGTGATGAGTATGGTCATCATGGCCAAAATACCCCAATTTGGCCAGTCGGGCATTTAAACTACACTAGTAGAAGCACATGCACAGTTCTAAATATTTATTTTTAAATGTAGTAATTACCAGACAAACTTGAGTAAAACCCTAATAGAGGAATTAAAATGATACCTATGTGAACAAAAAAAAAATTGGTATACATATTTGTTATGCCCAAACTCATCCACGAGCCAATACTTTTATTGCAGATTCTGCAGATTAATGTGTTAAAATATAGTAACATTCCATGTACATACTTTTTTTGTTATCTGTTTGATGTATATTGTAACGTGTTTTACTACTGATTACGCCATAGAGATTGTTAATTGGTTTATTTAACAACCTACAAATCTCGGCTACAATTAATTATAACAATGTTGCGGGGTTTCACACTTTATAACCCTATTCGCACTATTCAATTCACTCTATTGTCAGTAGAGTACACGTTTTTATAACACAGGAGTTATACAACTGCAACTGTATCACACACTCCCAATTATTACTCGGTAATCACGAACTATCACTGATTCTCGCACACGCGTCCATAACTCGTAACTATCTTGTGAACTTGAGAACTGTCTTCGGCGCTGATACACTTTAAGTCTCTCCGGGGGACAGCTACAAGTTAACTCACTCCGGCGGCTGTGCAGTTCCCTTATATAGCCGCAGTGCTTGCCTGTTACGTAGTGAGTGCCTTGTCACAGTAGGAACCGGTGCCACGTCACAATGTTTGCATATAGCCTAGCAACGCTGTTTACTTGCGCCGTGTTACGTCACCGCAGAGGGGTGGTCAGAGTTGCCACGTCACTGCCGGGTAGGGAGGGGTTGTCCTCCATTGCACAACATGACACAATATATAGGCTAAAATGAAACTACAGTATTCGATTTCACTATGAATGCACAGAAAGCAGATCGCACTTTGTATCTCAGCCACGATGCAATTGTCTGTTCATGACCATAGAAAGGGCAATAATCTCTTGCAGCTATAACAGAAGGTCTTAGCAGAGAAGAAGGGGCCCCTCTAGCTTTTCTTGAGTAGCCACGCTTTCATTCTTCTGTCCTTTAGTCAAAAGATTCAAAAATCTGAAGAGTGTAAGCAGTGCTAGCAGAAGACCAAATGATTTTATTGCTTCCATCTGCTTTATGACACCAGGGACTGCTAAAATATGTTAAGTGTTACAAGCAGGACTGATTTTATAATGCAGAACAACTCTGTGAAGAAATGGGAAACCATTTTTACAGTACACATCAAAATTGAAAATAGCCTATAACTCTCTGTATAAAAATTTTCAAATCTTCCGTTATAATATGCAACACTATGTTCTTTGCTAATACAAACAAAGTTAATTCATATTTATCATAAAAATTGTGTTAGATACAGCATTTTTAAACACAATGCTTAAAATTGTTTAAGCGCTCTAACAGGAACAGACATTTAAACGCAGAGCGGCGAAGGGCATTTAAACAAACTCCGGCCAGCTGAAGCTTACCATCATTTCAAAAGTCCAGTGTTGAAAGGTTAAAGACTACCTGATAAAATAAATGAGAAGTTCTAAGAAGAACTAATCACCTAATTTCCTTTGATACATGAACCGCACTGAAAATTATGCGTCCAAAATTTCTTCTATTGTTGCAGGTGTATTTGTTGCCAGTGGAATGTGTTTACCAAGCTGTTGCCTAGCAATGATAGGAGGGAATACATAGACATAGAACAAGGTGATCTCATAGGCCTACTTTTTTTTTCCAAAATAGGGGAAGTACTCTAAAAAACATTGGGGTGGTGTTTTCTACATGACCCATGCTGAGTTGTTATCAGCAGGACCAGTAGATTAAAGGGAACCCAGTTCCTGGGTGTACAACTGGCCCACCCAGTTCTTGGGGGATATAAATGTGGGCATCTGGCCCTCCAGGTTGGGGGTGTCTCAAATCTGAGACAGTAATATATGTCATGACTCCTGCAGGACGCAAACCCAAGAATGACTGCCCTGGAGAGTGTCAGTAGCAATTGTAAATGACACACCCATCCACTCGTCAGAAAAGATGACCCACAAAATTCTGGTCTTGAGCCCCAGCTAGGGCTTGACACCAAGAAAGCCTGGCCAAATGACTATCAGTCATAACATAACTTTGACTCTTTGACTCTGTGAGTTAGTTCCCAAACCCCATTCAACTCCAAAGTGACTTAAAATACCATGTCAAGTTCCAAAATATAGAAAGAGGAACCTATATTATAACAAAATAAATGGTGGACTATTTAGCCATGAAATCCTACCTAGAGAAAAATAATCTCCACTGCTTTATCTTTTCAATAAATTCTGAAAAGCCTATAAAGGAAGTAATCCATCACCTTCCCCCCAAACATGCTAATGGAAGATATTTCCAGCAGCCTTTAGGACTTAGGCTTCAACGTCACCAATGTAAGGCAAATGATGGCCACTCAAAGAGCACCCAACGGCCAAACCCACATGGAAACCCTCCCTCTATTCTTTGTTACCTAGACAAGGAACATAAAATCTCGAGAGATATTCAGGCTGGCGTTACACAACGCTGGCCACCTGCACAGGGAATGCCCTGAAGAAACAAATACAGAATCTACACCGAGCTGCTGCAATTGCACCTAGTAGAAGGAGAGAAAGTTCATCCAATATCATACCAAGGCTGCAGCCATGCAAAAGGAAAACTGCGAAAGAGAAGAGCACAAGCTCCCAAGGGATCCTCTACAAAGACATCATTCTCTAAGTTTACCCCACCAGAGCGGTCCTATGCAGCTGCATTGCGTCAAGACACGCAACACCAGCAACCACGTGCACCACAGACAGATGGGAAAAGTGTGAGGCCCCCAATGCAGCACCATCTGCCACAACAGGAAATTAGAGAATAAGTCTGTCAGTACAGGCTCCCAGTTTCACTAACAGTGACATGTTAAAAGTCGCCACTGTAGTGCAACAGATCATGACAGAGCTCAGTGAAGCTGTATCAGAAAAAGAGAAAATAATAGTCATTACAAAAATGGTACTTAATGCAATGAAACAAGATGGCTGTTAAAAGAGTTCATAGGCCACTCAAAATGATAGTATGTGCCCAGGAACATTTAATTTGTGAGTTCTAGGTGTGGAAATAATGCCAAAGTTTCTCCACATCTTTCTGTTACACCCTCTGTGTGCAAGCATTTGTGTATTGTTGACAAGTTGATTTGTGCTAGAGCTGCCAAGCATCATGATTCTGATAGATCAGACAGTACATATGGTACTCAGCAAAGCATATGCAATTATCTGAAAATTAACAAAGTTCAAGACTGAAATCTGTGCTACTGGATTTGAACTGAAGCTTCCAGTGTATCAAAAATTAATACTTTGTGTCCTGCACACCAGTACAGAGCATCAGCTATACCTTGAACTTCTGCTGGAGACATATGCTTGGTATTTGCCTTGCTCTTGTTTGTTTCAGTCACTGGGTCAGTCTGTACCTTTGTCGTAGAAGCACTGTCTGATCCAGGATCTTCTGTATTGATAAATTCTGTAACACGTAAATGAAAAAGAATACCAATTTGTGAAAGAACACCATTTTAACACTCCATATCTGAAAAGAGTGAATAATACAAACATTACAGGCAAAAACTCTCATCTCTATTCTGTTTGAAATGATACAATTTCCTGACATTCAATTTCTATGCTAAAATCTTCTAAAGTGATCAGACATGTCAATGTTGAGTCTCGATTATCAGGGTTGATCACCTGAGAAGATTTTAGCACATTTACTCACTGTGAAAGCTTCAAATCTTATTGAATTTCTATGTTAGTAAGTACAATTTCTGGCTGAGGGAGGGTGTGTTCTAAAACTGTAACAGGTTCAAATATTTGGGATTTGTTATAATCAAAATCATGTTCATACAGGAGGTAAAAACATATTACATTTGGGAAAGTCTTGCTTCCATAAAGTTCAGAATCTTTGCAGAATCAACTGAATATGTGTTCTACAGGGAGATCGAAAGGTGGCGCACATCAAACTAAAAGTTACAACTCTTTTATTGACCGTCACAACACAACAAACAGAAAAAATCAAGGTTAGCACCCAGCTATGGTTTCGCTACATGTTTCAGCCACTGACGGCCACCATCAGGCAAACACATATACCATTTAACTGCTGTACATTAGATTGGATACAATCATTTAAAATAATTTGCATAAAAATACAATAAGTCTATAAAAGAGTTGTCTACTGTAACACAACAGGATGCACGAAATAAAAAAAAAACTAAAAGTTGTTACAAATTGTATTGCAGTTAATATAATTATATCTCCTACCGCTAGATGGTACTGTAGGAGTACTAACGAGTAGAAATGCTATCTGTTGTGTATCGTTCATATGACGTCTGCATTATAGCTTTGTTTATTGCGTGACAGACATGTCGTTTTCCCAAGAACGAGTTTTCATGGAACTGAAGCGTCTGATCGGGTTTTCTTCATTGATGAAGCGTGGTTTCACCTTAGTGGCTATGTGAACTCAAAACAATAGCATTTGATCATCTGAAAATCCACGTGTTACATGGAAAGCCCTTGCACTGTCAGAAAATTGGAGTGTGATGTGCTGTATCACAATCGTTGAATAGTGGGCCCAGTTTTCTTTCAAACAACAGTGAACAGTCCAGTGTACCAAGACATCATCATACAGTTTATTGCACTTCTTGAAGTTGATGAACATGAGTGTTGGTTGCAGCAAGACAGTGCCACATGTCACACATCTAATGAACCCATGCAGTTCTTGCACAATTTTTTCAGTGACCATCTCATTTCAAAAGGATTGTGGCCCCCGCATTCGCCCGATTTGTCACCTGCAGATTTTTTCCTTTGGGGATACCTCGAAGAAATGGTCTATAAAAACAATCTGCATATACTGGATGACCTCAAAGACGAATATTACGATGGCGATTAACAGCATCTGTTTACAGGTGCTCCACAAAGTGGCCTCAAACATGGTAAAAAGAGCTCGCGCATGCATTGCTGAACAGGGAAGCCATTTCGAGCATATGTTATAAAGACATGATTTGATTTTGTATTTCTAAGATGTAAGGCTATAAACATTAATAGAAAGTGCTGTATGGCCTGTAGTTTGTGCATTAAACCGGCAAAATATAATTGCTTAGTGTAATGTGCGCAACTTTTCAATCTCCCTGTACTTCCTTATAAAGGATACCATTTGTATCATTATTTTTAGTTTTCTGGGTCATGCACATTCAGAACAATATCATCACACCAGTGGAGGGCACGCAGTAGCGTAGTTGGTTGAGGCACTATGCTACAAGCCAAAGGTCATGGGTTCGAGTCCTGATGAGGTGGATTTTTTTTTTCAAATGACCTAATCCTCCCAGCTGCACTATGAACCTGGGGTCAACTCAGCCTCTAACAGGAATCTTCATGGGGGGTCTTCATGGGGGATAAAGGGCGGATGGTGCATAAGGCTGACAACCTTACTGCCATCTGTGAGCTGTCTACATCTCACAACCATATGGGCCTTCACAGCCTGTTACAGGGATAGCTTTATCTTTTATCATCACACCAGTAACCCATTAGTATTACTCGTATATATGACATCACTAATGAAGTCTGCTCATATAATTCCTTTCATGCAAAGAAAAAACCCCCATCTCTAAGTGATTAGTTTCATTTCCATAGCAAAATGTATAATTGCCTGATGGTTTCATGCCACAATCATCTTGTCTTATCTCTCCTCCTGTACTCCCACTATATCTAACTTACTTACTTACTTACTTGCTTGCTTACTTACGCGTGGAGCTCGGCCCTTCTGGAGGAGCTGCTAATTCTGCAGCTACTCAAGAATTTCCCAGAATTTTATGGAACCCAAACGTTCATTACTGTGTTCACAAGAGCCCTCCACTGGTCCCTATCCTGAGCCAGATCAATCCAATCCATACCATCCCACCTTATCTCTCTAAGATCCATTTTACTATTGTCCACCTGCCTATGCCTTGGTCTTCCCAGTGGTCTCTTTCCTCCTGGCTTTCCCACCAATATCCTATCCACATTTGTCTTCCCCATTCATGCTACATGACCTGCCCACCTCATCCTCCTTGACTTGATCATTCTAATTATACTTAGAGAAGAGTATAAGTTATGAAGCTCCTCATTATGCAGTTTTCTCCAACCACCTGTCACTTCATCTCTCTTCAGTCCAAATATTCTCCTCAACACCCTGTTCTCAAACACCCTCAGTCTATGTTCCTCCATTAATGTCAGAGATGAAGTTTCACACCCATACAGAACCA